GTGTGTGTGTGTGTGTGTGTGTGTGTGTGTGTGTGTGTGTGTGTGTGATAATCTTTGTTTTGTTGATGTGTTGCAGATCACGTGTCCGTGGGGGGCTTAGGCGACAGTTTCTATGAGTATCTGCTCAAGGCCTGGCTGATGTCTGACAGGACTGACGAAGAGGCCAAGAAGATGTATTATGATGCCCTACAGGTAACACACACACACACACACACACACACTCACACGCACTTCCTATTACAAAGTCAGTCAGTAGTAACCCTTCCAGCTACAGTCGATATATTAAAGAAATCAGTTGGAATGCTAATAATACAGAACATGGGAACGTTCAATAACTTTTTATTCAGTATTTGACTGACTGTGAGTTGTAGAAAACCCTTTTTCTGTTGGTGAGTGTTCTCTCCCGACAGCTGTAATTGTACAACAGAAAACTGAAATCGTCATTTGTCACCTGTCTGCCGCTCCCGAAACGCACCATCTGTGAATGGCTGTTAAGCACCGCTCCTGTCCCGACCATCACATTATGTTAGAGCACTGATCTCCATGGGCTGTAATTTCCAATCTGTTGCACTTCTACCACTGAGATCTCTCCCACTGCAGTGTATTTCAATTTCATCATCAGCGGATCGAGATGTGAAAACGTAAACACTACATGGGTCACGACTGGAATAATATGAATGTATGATATAAGTGGGGGTTTGAACACGGTGTTTACAGACGAGGAGCTGCCTGGATGATGAAAAGCTGCTTGATAATGACAATAGCGGACAACAAACACGAGGTCGGCCTCAGAATTTGAAAAGTGGTGTTCGTTCCTCCCTGCGGTGGCGATATTCAGGAATCCGGTCACCCAAATAACCTCGAAGCTGTTGCTCATGAGATAATAAAAGCAATAATTTACATGATGACACGTTATCACCATAAATATTTTCTGGGTCGACTGAGATTGTAACTGGTGTTTTTGCTAAATTCAGTTCTGTTTGAATCGTGTGGATTTTTATTTTGCTTCAAGTGGCAATATTGTGATTTACTATCTACCACTGCGACCACTGCCATGCCCGAGATATTCAGATATTTAGTGTTTTTATTCTCACTGTGGGAGCCACATGGTGAGTTCGAGCAGATGAAAGATGATGGCACAAACAGAGAAAAACACTTTTATATAAGAAGACGGCGACGAGGAGCAGGAGCAGATGAATCAACAGCCTCCGAAAGTGAATACGTAATCAACACACAGACATGCAGACAGCTTTTCTCTGTTCAACACAAATTGTCAACTGAAGTTGTGGTGACAAGCGGCAGGTCTCAGCTGGAGAGAGCTGGCTCTCCAATTGTTTCTCTGTGACACTCTGGGGAGCAAATATATTACATGGCAACTAAAATGCAGCATTAACCACGCAGGGATTCTTTACCCGTAATTCCTCCTGATCTATACGGATTATAGGCCTTCTTGATTTATTTGTCAAGGAGAAGCCTGGGAAGCGAGAGAGCAGCAGCAGGGTGATTATCTGAGTCATAGATGATAAAATGATTGGATAACCTCGGCTGGTTCTGTACAGCCTGGGCCGCGTTAAAGGATCAGCACGCCCAAAATACATCGATTACTTTGAGAAGACCTTGTTGTAAAAGTGTCATTCACATCTGGTTTTTACACACACATTATTATAAAGAGGAGGTTGTGCAAAAGGAAGCACTCTTGTCTTTATGGATGAAACGATTCACACTTTCACCAGCACAGTCCACCAGGCGCTGAGATATTTAATTGTTTGCCGATACAAACAGATGTAAGATGAGCCGCAGATAATTATAATTGTTAATCTGCTAACAACAAGAATTGTGTAAAAAGTGGTTTGTTGCCATTCAATTAAAAAAATATATATTTTAAAAAGTAAGCTACTTTGAGCCCCATAAACCAAGTGCCATTAAAGGAATACTTTATCCATAAAATGACCGTTTGTATGTCAACTTCTCACCCCGTGTTATCTTAACCCACCTCCAATAAAACCCTCCGTCACTCTTTGTCTCTCAGGCGATCGAAACCAACCTGATGAGGAAGTCGAGCAGCGGGCTGACCTACATAGCGGAGTGGAAGGGGGGGCTGCTGGAGCACAAGATGGGTCACCTGACCTGCTTCGCAGGTGGCATGATCGCTCTGGGCGCTGACGGGGCGGCCAGCGAGAAGACGGGCCACCAGATGGAGCAGGCCGCCGAGATCGCCCGGACCTGTCACGAGTCTTACGCCAGAACCGGTAAATATGCACAAACAGAAGACGATACACGCTCAAAGGTTTTTATGTTTTACTTTTCAAGCGCCAGACTCTGGCTGGAGTCTGAGCTGGAGTTTCTAATGAATACATTTTCTTTCTTCTGATTTCGTGGGGACTCTGACAGGCATTAGGAATAGATATATTGGAATAGCCAATATTCCTCGTTGATGGTCACATTTACTTATGTCGGTTGTATAGAGGCACCAGTATTACATAGAGACTGTTTCATAACCAGTTTAAAGGTTCTCATAGTACCTTTAAGTGTAATCTGACTATGCTGCTTTATATCTACAACATGTTCTCCTCTCTAGCTTTGAAGCTGGGACCAGAAGCCTTTCGTTTTGACGGCGGAGTTGAGGCCATTGCCACCCGCCAGAACGAGAAATACTTCATCCTCCGCCCCGAGGTCATAGAGACCTACATGTACATGTGGAGGTTCACCCACGACCCTAAATACAGGCAGTGGGGCTGGGAGGCTGTTCAGGTAAAACATTTGTTTCCTGAATTGTAAATTAGCTTTTTGTCATAGCTTGGCAGTGTTGAAAGAAATGTTCTCACACTGCACATGTCATTTCATTTGAGATTTTGAAGTAATTTAAAATGACACTGAACAAGTTTCTCACACGCTCTAAAAAAACAACACAAATCAGGACGGAAGCTTACAGGAGGTCAATTCATTTAACTTGTTTTTTATATTTAGCAAATATCCGCCCTGAGTTTTAGCGATATTTTAAGTACATGAAGAGTTTGACTGATGTCTTTCCCTCTCCCTGCTGTGCGCCTCCGTCTCCTCTCAGGCTTTAGAGCAGCACTGTAAAGTAGAAGGAGGCTACAGCGGCGTCAGAGACGTCTACGCTTCAACCCCCAACCACGATGACGTGCAGCAGAGCTTCTACTTGGCCGAGACGCTCAAGTGAGAAACAAACGTCTTTACGCGCACGCACACACACACTCCCTTCACTTCTGTCCTCTCATGATTGTGCTGTCATTGCAATTCCATGTGTGCTTACGCATACATCTAATTTGTCTCCGGTTTCCACTCCGCTCTCAATGTACAAACACAAATTTACAATAAACAAGACAATATATATATATATATATAAAGAATAAAAAAGGGCAGCAAAAAAGTAGAACGGATGTAGGTATAGACATTTAGCTATATACAATATAAGTATAAATATATATTCAAGAGAAAAAGTGTATGTATATATATATACATGTGAACATAAACCTATAGACAATGGCATGAATTATAAGTGGTGGTAATAGTGCAGTATAACTTATTTATTGTTCATGAGAGTGATGGCCAGTGGAAAGAAGCTGTTCCTGTGTCTGGTGGTTTTGGCGTACAGAGCCCTGTAGCGCCTACCAGAGGGGAGGAGTTGGAACAGCTTGTGTCCAGGGTGTGAGGGGTCTGCAGAGATCTTTCCAGCCCGTTTCCTGACTCTGGAGGTGAACAAGTCCAGGATGGAGGGCAGGCTGGAACCAATGATCCTCTCTGCAGACCTGACAATCCGTTGCAGTCTGTTCCTGTCCTGTTTGGTGGCTGATCCGAACCACACAGTGATAGAGGAGCAGAGAACAGACTGGATGATGGCTGAGTAAAACAGGATCAGCAGCTCCTGAGGTAGGTTGAACTTCCTGAGCTGGCTCAAGAAGTACAACCTCTGCTGTGCCTTTTTCCGGATGGTGTTGATGTTGGAGGCCCACTTCAGGTCCTGGGAGATTGTGGATCCCATAAACTTGAAGGTCTCCACAGCAGACACAGTGTTGTTGTGTATGGTGAGGGGGGGCAGTGTTGGGGGGGCTCCTCCTGAAGTCCACTGTCATCTCCACAGTTTTGAGCTTGTTTAGCTCCAGGTTGTTCTGACCACACCAGAGGACCAGCTGTTCAACCTCCCGCCTGTACGCAGACTCATCACCGTCCCTGATGAGGCCGATGACCGTGTGTCGTCTGCGAACTTCAGGAGCTTGATCGTTGGGTCCTCTGAGGTGCAGTCGTTGGTGTAGAGGGAGAAGAGCAGTGGGGAGAGCACACAACCCTGGGGGGCGCCAGTGCTGATAGTCCGGGTGCTAGATGTGATTTTTCCCAGCCTCACCTGCTGCGTCCTGTCAGTCAGGAAGTTAGTGATCCACTGGCAGGTGGAGGCTGGCACAGTGAGCTGGGAGAGTTTGGGTTGGAGTATTGCTGGGATGATGGTGTTGAACGCAGAGCTGAAGTCCACAAACAGAACCCTTGCATATGACCCTGGGGAGTCGAGGTGTTGCAGCATGTAGTGCAGTCCCATACTGACTGCATCATCCACCGACCTGTTTGCACGGTAGGCAAACTGCAGGGGGTCCAGCAGGGGTCCTGTGATGTTCTTCAGATGGGTCAACACCAGTTTCTCAAAGGATTTCATGACCACAGACGTCAGCGCGACGGGCCTGTAGTCATTCAGTCCTGTGATGGAGGATTTCTTGGGGACCGGGATGATCGTGGAGCGTTTGAAGCAGGAGGGTACTTCACAGAGCTCCAGTGATCGGTTGGTCAACACAGACTTTCAGGCAGGAGGGTGACACACCGTCTGGGCCTGGTGCCTTCCTGATCTTCTGTCTGTGGAAGAGCCGACTCACATCCTCCTCGCAGAACCTCAGTGCCGGTGGGGGGTCGGTTGGAAGAGGTGAGAAGGAGGCAGGGGGTGTAGGTGGTTGTTTGATGGTGGGGGGTGTGAAAGTGGGCTTATCAAACCTGCAATAGAAACAATTCAGGTCATCAGCCAGTCGGTGATTGGCTTCAACTACAGGATGGTCTCCTGTAGTTCGTGAGTACTTCCAGGCCTCTCCAAACTGATGAGGGGTCGTTGGCTGAAAACCTTTTCTCCAGCTTTTCAGTGTAGCTCCTCTTAGCTACCTTGATCTCCCTCGTCAGTGTGTTTCTGGCCTGGTTGTACAGGATCCTGTCCCCACTTCTGTAGGCCTCCTCCTTGGCCCGACGAAGCTGCCTGAGTTTCTCAGTAAACCAGGGTTTATTGTTATTGAATGTGCAGAAGGTTTTATTCGGCACACACATGTCCTCACAAAAACTGATGTACGATGTCACAGTGTCAGTGAGCCCATCCAGGTCCGTAGCAGCAGCCTCGAAAACACTCCAGTCAGTGCAGGCAAAGCAGGACTGTAGCTCCAGCTTTGCCTCGTTGGTCCATCTCTTCACAGTCTTCACCACAGGCTTTGCAGATTTTAGTTTCTGCCTGTAGGTCGGGAGAAGATGAACCAGACAGTGATCAGAGAGTCCCAGAGCTGCACGGGGGAGTGAGCGGTATGCATCCTTTATGACAGTGTAGCAGTGGTCCAGTGTGTTTTGTCCCTGGTGCTACACTTAATATGCTGTCTGTATTTAGGCAGTTCTTTGCTGAGGTTTGCTCTGTTGAAGTCCCCAAGAACAATGAGCAGGGAGTCTGGGTGATTGTGCTCCATGTTGGTGATCTGCTCAGCCAGGTGTTGGAGAGCCTCGCTCACACAGGCCTGAGGTGGGATGTAAACACCGACCAGGATGAACGAGGAAAACTCCCGCGGTGAATAAACAGGTTTGCAGTCTATGAAAAGTGTTTCTAGGTGAGGGCTGCATGATTCCTTTAACACTGTGACATCTGTACACCAACCTTCATTAATGTAGAAGCAGATTCCGCCTCCCCTCGTTTTCCCCGACAGCGCCGTGACGCGGTCCGCTCGGAGGAGTTGGAAGCCCGGCAGATGTAGTGCGCTGTCCGGGATGTGCTCACCGAGCCAGGTTTCAGTGAAGCACAGGGCGGCGGATCTGCTAAAGTCCGTGTTTGCTTTGTTGAGGAGCAGCAGCTCATCCATCTTGTTGGCCAGAGAGCGGACGTTCGCCAGGTGAATTGACGGGAGCGCAGTTCTGAGTCCCCGTCGGCGCAGATTAACGAGCGCTCCTGCTCGCTTCCCACGTCGGCGTCTCCGATAGATTCCGAGTAGAGCAGCTGCTCCCCCAACTAAAATCTCTGAAGAACTTTCTGGTTCTATGAGATGCGGGGAAAACGTTTGGCCAGTGAATAGACAGATGTTTAAGAGTTCCTCTCTGCTGAATGAGATCAGAGAGGGAGAGCTGGGAACAAGACAAATGAACAAAAACAGAAAAAGTACGAGAGAGCGCAGTACCGAGGCTGCCATCTGCGGCGCCATCTTGTTATGTCTCTCACACACACACACACACACACACACACACACAAAGTATGATGATGTTGTCATTCATTCAGACTGAGCTCCAGAGAGTTGCTAAGGTCACTGGCAAGGCTTCTTCACTACACGGTCTCTCACACAAACACAAGTGGGACTTTTCAAGGATCATCCATTGTCATTCTTGTGCAACAGAAATGCAGTTGTAGCCTCGTCTGTTTATGCTACACAGGACAAAACAGGAGTGCACTCCCATAGTGCACTCTTTTGTAACTCTCATCAGGAGGAATGTAAACAGCAGCAACAAAAGAACTTCTGGGGAGATAACGTGGCCGACATTCTTAACATTACACCAGGGAAACGTTGTCCGTCACCGTTGACTGTGTTTGAGCACCAAGCGTCATTGATGGAAACACGGAGTCCTGCTCTCTGTCCTGCGGTCCGAGCAACAAGTACAGCTTGATCCTGGATGCCACAACGGAGCCAGGTCTCTGTGAAGATGTGTGCATTAAGTCTCTGGTTTCCCATTGCAGGGTTAGCCTGAAGTCTTATTTCATCCATCTTATCTTAGCACCAGGCTGGGTAGTGGAGTAGTCGTAGGTCCTAGCAGGGTTAGCGTAGCTTCGGGTCCAGGCTCTCCCCCGTCTCCTCTTATGGTGGTCGTCTCAAGGTCTGCTGCACTTTATCCAATCCTGCTTCCTCCTCCGATGTTGATGAGTGTAACTCTGCCATACTCCATACGTGGTCCAGTGATGAAGACAAAAAGACAGCAAATTAGAACAAAAATGTACTTTTGAAGATCAGCTCTTAATGAAAACTGTCAAAGAAGGTGATCAAATACGAATCAAGATCCTGTTACTGTATCACCTATTTATCGCCTCAAATCTCTTCAGAAACATATTGTAGTGTACTGTTTAGCTGTAGAATGAGCTGCCTGGTTTCGACTCGACTGTTTTCAACATGGCGGCCGGGTCACAAACTTTCCGGTTCTGGAATTGTTTCATGATAATCGCACAATGATATGAAATTAATACGACACGAACATTATACAAGTAAATCACTCTTAACTATGTACAATGGTATTCCAGTTATGTATGTCTTGTTTCAGCAAACACCGTGTATCAGTCCGTCTGGTCTGGAGCCTAGATGATGTTAAATAGCAGGGAAAGACTGAAACTGTGAGACACACCACAGGCAGCTCACTTCCTCTTAATAGGCGCCTGATACTTTTACTGAACTGCCTTCGTGTGTGTGTGTGTGTGTGTGTGTGTGTGTGTGTGTTCACAGGTTTACACAATGGACATAATTGCACACATCATACTTGAAGCTACAATAATATAGCAAGTAGACATTTGCAATTTAATTATCCATTTGTATTTCACACCTGCTGGCTGGTTAACGGCATGTTACTGTAAATCTTTAGGAATGTCATTAAAACAAAGCCCGGTTCTGATCCTGTAGATTATATTGAATTCATTTCTGATGCAGCAACAAATCTTCTGCACTCTCCCACCCAACTCACCGTCCTCTCCGCTTCCTCTTCTCACATTGGAATGTGTACGGCCTCTCCAGCATCCCCCACCCTTCACCTCCTCCTCTTCTTCGATCATTTTTATTTCCTCCCCCACACACCAGACAGCTGTTGACATGAAGTCAAGGTTAGTGGAGGCCCGACAGAGCCTGATGGGGGCGAAGTGCCATCCAATACAGCTTCTTTTTTTTTTCCGCAGGCAGTAAATTTTAACAAGCAGCACCTCTTCCCCTGATTGCGCCGCACATGCGCTCAAAGTAAGATGTCCGGATGCCTCTCGCAGATCCACCGGGCCGTGACGTGCAGACGAGTGTTTTGTTTTCTGCCGATCGGTTTGAAAAAGCTAAAAATCCCACCAAGCGTGAAAAAGTAAAAGCGCGCCATGAATATCTTTTATAGGCATGATAAAATGTTTTCCATCCGAGGGCAATTGACCAGCAGCCCGGACAGCGACGCAACGATTGCCTCATCAGTCACATCCACGGTCTCCGAGTCGGACCTGGAAATATCAATCCCATTTAGCAGCCGGGCCATAAGTCTAATCCTCCTAATGTTACTCGGGTATCTTGGCATCGTGCTGAGCCACTTCCAGTATCCATCTTTAGCGCTGCTGCCAAGGACACGGCCATACCTCACGCTGCTGTCGGCCCTCAATCACTCAGCGCTTTCTCCTGGTTTGTTGGCAGGCGGAGGAGGACGAGGGCCACTTGTTGTGGAGGTTGAGGGCTCCTCTTTAGTCGGATGACATGCATGCTGTCCCTCGTCCCTGAATTCCCCCCCCCCCCCCCATGCTCTCCTCAAACAGCATTGTTTTTATTGATCTCGCTCGTCGTGATGAAGTCTGAAGTGGATCAGGCTTTGAACGGCGACTGTCCAGAAACTCCCTTTATTTACTTGCGCTCGTACCTCGTCCTTGTTTCATCAGCTCTGATAACATTCAACTGCAGTATTTCATCACCTCAGGTTTCATAAACTGGTCTGAGCCCGAGCCACACCCGCACCCCCCTCCCCACCCTCCCCCCCTCTCTGTTTCACATCTGCTTCATATTTCTTTTGGCAGGACTGCCGATAAATATTGCAAAAGCTGAGCACAAAATAATATCTCTAAATCTATAAAACACTGAGCAGTGAACGGTTTACATCCCAAAGTGAGTCATCTTCAGCATGTTTATTTAATAATATGATTTGACCGAAAAAAAGAAAAAAGATCTTTAAATCCACTTACAAATTTCCTGTCTACTCCTCAGCGATGGTAACATTAAACTAGACTTTGTTTGGTGGGGAACCTTCAGCAACATCATTTATAAGCCTGTTACTGCTACTTTCTCAGCTCATGGAGTGATAGAAGTGATGTTTTTTATCCACAATTCAGACACTTAAGGGAATACTTCCCCCTCAAAACGATCGTTTGTATATCAATCCTTGAATATAAGTGTGTTTTTTTTTTTATAGCACGCCTCTGCGGGGAACGGAGAAAAACAACAGAGAAAAGTCTTGATGAATGGATGTACATATGGGGGTCGCGTTTTAACAACAGCTGAACTACGTCAAAACATCCGTTCACAAGCTCTCACACAACTGGTGCAGTGTAATCCAAGTCTCAGTTATCCAAGCGAATGCTCACTACTTCCCCAAACACACGCGCGTCTTCGCCAAGACCTTCCTCTTTAATAAACTTCCACATAATTAGTCTCACGCTTGCGGAGCCACGCTGCTGGAGGGAATGTCTTCAGATTTGGCACAAACGTCCACCTGGACTCAAGCATGAACCGATTTAGAATGTGGAGGTCACAGGTCACTGTCACCTTGATTACAATATCTGTAAAAGCCCATTTAAACAGGTACATCTCCTCATTAGGGTGTCGGGTGTGTTGAATAAACTCTTAACCCCCCCCCCCCCTCTGTCTCCTTCAGGTACCTCTACCTGCTCTTTTCCGAAGACGACCACCTACCGTTCGACCACTGGGTGTTCAACACCGAGGCTCACCCTCTGCCCGTCATCAAGAAGGACGTGACGGACATCCCCAACGAGGTGGAGTAGTGGACTCCTGCGCTGGCGCCCCAAAACAAGTGCGAGAACCTCTGATCCTGTAGCCCTGAGCCTCCAGCTGTCTGTCTGACAACAGTTTAGCCATTTGGAGTCCCCAAAGGTTACAGGTGCCTCTTGATTGGGATTTCACCTTTTTTTTTTTTTTTTTTTTTTTTTCATGGGATCAAAACAGAAATCAAGCCTGAATTCTTGCTGTAGAATCCAGTTTAGTTCGTTTTTGCTTTCGTTGTCGCTGACCAGAACCAACATGTTTGCTGCCGGATAACGTAATAACTCAAGAGAGGGATATCAGACGGGTATTGTGAGTTTCTTTTAACATTCTTGCATTGTAAAAGCGGTACTCTCTGAAGACGTCGTTACATAACGCGGCAGTTTATTTAACTTCTAGTTGTTTTAAACTGGTCAGAGTGGCAGTCTGACCAGTTATCACTTTATTCGTGGGTGATTTTGTTGTTGCTAGCTGCAGCTTTTTGTGAAGGAGAACACTGACGGATCTGAAACCGGTCAGCTCCCTAATGTGGATATTTTTTTGGACCTGAGCTTTGGGCACCTAAACCCTGAAAGACTCGTCCGAGGACTACAAGGCCGACTGAGTGAGCTACAGGACGCTCCGCTCGCTTTTCTTTCTGCTGTACCGCTTCAATATCTGGACAAGCGCCGGTTTCCCTGCGCCAAAGCCGGTGCCAACACCTCCACCTGCAGCGCCACCCGACTGCTACCGTCTTCAGAGAGGCATTTTCTCTTTCTAAAAACACGTGGTTGTCTCTGTGGAAGTGAAGGCAGGACGCAGCACAACCCGAGCCTCTTTTTATAGACCCACAGGACTTTCAAAAAGACCTCTGCTGCCCGTCCCTCATTACCTGAACACCCGACTGCTTCTTCCTCCCTCCGAGTGTTCGGTGTCCGGCCACACCAGCTCTCTGAGCCCGACAGTAGTTTCACTCCCTCCCCAGGACGTCTACACAAAGCTGTCGCTGTCCTTCCGCTCATCTCATCTTCATCTGGCTTTTTTGGGATCCTGGATTGTATTCTCTTCCTCACATTTGCACCGATATTTCTGGGGTTTGACCGATACAGGTTTCAAAACTGATGAAAACGAATTTAAATCTAGTTTTTTGTTTGCAGTTTTCCCCCTTGGGATTTCATTGGTTGCTAAAAAAACAACCCAGTCAATGATTTCAGGGTTTTGAAAGTACTAAGAATTTAAAAAAACCTTACCTCCAGGTCCAGCATAATGATGCGTTAGACTATAAGATGCAGCTCAATCCTTTTTTTACATATTCTTTAGCAAACTACTATTGGCTAGTCAAGAAATGAAGAAATTGAATTTGGATACTCCACAAATAACCCTCTGCAAATGTTAGCTCCAGCATAGGGCAGCCCGTAGGATCTTCTCTCCTCTATGAGGAGACGCAGACACTCGTCTTTGCTGTTCTATCCCACCTCCACACACACCAGAAGCCATACTGATTCTAAACAGCTTTACCATTCTGTCGTCCAGATGTGTGACTGTATCGATACATTTTTTTCATCATCGTACGAACTCGTCAAAGTCGGTTACTTAGTTGGATGTCATGGTAAAGATTTCTCCTGATGACCACACAGACCTGTAGCCAGATACAATCCAGTTTAGTCTTCTAGTGCCTTCACTGGTGAGAAGGAGGAGTCGGAGGGAGAAGCAGCTCACACAAACACAAATGAAGCTTAAAGTAAAGTCCCCGTGCCTCCGACGAGGATCGTACCAAAACTACACACTGATTGAAGGAGAATTTATGTATTTATTTGATATTTAATGTAAATTTGGTTTGAAAGTAGCCCAAGAGTCCAAAGGTCCGTCTGCGGATCACATGAAATAATATCATAATTAAAAAGTCATTAATTTATTTCCCCAGAGGCCAACATCTGTCAAGAACCGTTAAATGCTTTGAGACCAGCAGGAGTCCCAGTTACGGTCATTTCTTGGACTACACTGACATCTAGTGGTGAGACCCTCCTGTTACAGTCCACATGGGCTGAATGAGTCTAAACGCTTTGGTGAGGATCACCATGTATATCAGTGACTGCTCCATAATGATCTGGACTTTACAAAGTTAAATCCCTGGATCTTTGAAATGGTCCATTCGTTGTTGTTTTGCAGGTTTAAAGACGTTTGGCTAACGTGTCACAGAGCAGTTTTTGGGAAATATTCTTGATGCTGTCATGGCTCGTGGTTTTTGGTTTTAACCAAATTTCAACCAAACAATACTGTGATGGAGTCACTTGTGAATTACTTCCCAAATGTAACGTCCCCCATACATCCAAATCTGTTGAGTGTTCTGCTGCGGGGAGATGTGATGAGTAGACACTTCACAACAAGAAGAGCTCTTAAAACCTTCAAATCAAATAGAAACGTAAGAGAAAAGGCAGAGAAGAGGTAAAAGACTCGCTGATTTTGCTTCACAAGAAAACAAGAAATGGTTCAACTACAAAGTGTTTGAGCTGCAAATGTTGGTTTTAAATCCAGTTAAACGTTTAAATAATAAGACCCACCCGTGGCCGGTCCCGTCCTCTTTAATATGGTTTGGAGTTGCTGAGCTGTGAGGAATCCCTCCACGTGCTTCACATCACTGTACAGACGACGTGTCCTCGTGTTTGTCTGTGTTTCTGTTCAGTCACACTCGGTTTAGAGGCAGTTAGTGTCCACGTGATGTTGTCTTGTAACCGTTGATTTTTGCTGATTGTGTTAATTTATTCTGTAGTAGTCGACATAGGACTCTGAGCTTGTGGGAGCTGACCCCCGGGTGGCGCTGTGGGTTCCCTGATTCATGACTGGACCCGAGGTCTGTCATTTTTTAACATCAATGATGTAAGTTACCACAACGGTCTCAAAATAATGATATAGATATAGATATACCAATGCTATCGGCAATGAATTGTAGGTGTTAAAAAATGCTACACACGTTACCTTTAAAGTGATGTTAGCAGAAAGACGGACCTGGGAGTCAATCAAACATTATTGGAGGATAGAAATTGTATGAATGTACCATCCAATGTGAAGTGAAGAATATTTTATATGCATTTATTTGTTTTTGGTCTTGTGTTCGCTTCTCTGTGCTTTTGTTTTTGTTGTTTTTTTCTTTCATCTTGGAAAGCACAAAACGTGGAATCAGTGAATGAACGCAGGCAGAGAGACGTCTGTAGTTTCCTCAAGACAGAAAGAAACGAGCAGCGACGGCACGCCGTTAACGTAGGAAACGATCCAAGTCTGCCGCATGAGGCGCATCGGTACACGGTGGAGGCACAGGAATATTCAGCGACAAAGTGTAACCTGGATCTGTTGAAGTGTTCACTGTACAGAACAGTGTTCAGACCCTGAAGCTGCTTCATATCGATGCAGAGGAGACGTCCTTCCTGTGTCCTTCATCAGTGTTTTGGTTCATGTTTGTCGAGCTCGTAGACGTGCGTGTTCACCTCGTTGGCACAGAGAACACTTGTAGGGAAAGCAGTGCTACAATGTAGCTCAGTGTCCATTTAAAGACATTTAATTAGCTTCTTATCCGATCAATTTCAAAAACAAACCTTAGCTCAAATACACCGAAAGAAGGTCATCAACTGGTGCCGTGGGTGGAAGTAATGGAGTAACTTGTGGTGGTGGTGGTGTTCCATCCTTAGTGGTTTGTAAACTCAGCACAGAGTTAAATTTAAAGGTGTGTCTATTTAAGGTGAAGCTTTATTTATAATCCTACAGAGATTGTAATAGAAGGGGGTTATACTTGTTGTTTTCCTATTATAATAGTGTGGGTCACTTTTCGGGCATTTTGAATGGACATGTTTGTACTTTTAGAGCGTAACAGTCTCCCTCACCGATAAGATTTGTCGGAGCAACTCAACATTCTGAAATCAGATTTGTTTTGGGGGCATTTTGTGGATTATAAATATGTTAAAGTAACTGTGTCGACTTGCAAACCTATTTTGGAACCAGGGAGGTTTAGAAACATCAGTCCGATGTTTGGCTTGTGATTTAGACTTAAAGGGCTGATGAGGAAATCTTTAGTCTTTACAACATCCGGCCCGACATCTGGTTGGATTTACCTGGAAAAGTTTTCGACACGTTGTTTCTGCTCTTGTGACACTGATCTGGTCGTTTCACTGCCTGAATAGGAAGGAGATGCAGAATGTACTTTGGTTTTTCATGTGAGCCGTCGGTGTGAGATCTGCTTCAGCTTCAACAGACTGTGACATCAGGCTCACTTCCATATGCAGAATCTATTGTATCTTTTTGTTATTTGTCCAACAAGGTTGAATAGGTTTTGTTTTTGTTGGTGATTTTCTGAATATTGTGCTGATGATCTGTTGCGTTCCGATGCCCGTTTATTGGTGAATATTAAAGGGGAACGCCAACTTCTTTAAATATGAAGTCAGTCCCAGTGACGACGCACCACTTCTAATCTATCTCACACTGAAATCATGACTTTACTCTGGAGTGGTGTGCGATCACTGAACGGGACCGACCTGTCAAAACAAGCAGGGTCTTTACAGAGGCTGGCGTTTCCCTTTAAAGTGTGAAGCCAACCTCAGAAATGTGTCTGTACAAAATATTGCTGATAATCATTCCATTGCACATAGTTTACTTTGCGTTTATATGCAATGTCTTAATTTTGTGGGGAAATCTTGTTTTGTTGTGTTAATATTATTATTGAAAAAAATGTAAATATTCCATTCCGGCAAATGTGCCGTCCTACATTTATATAAAAACAATCTTCTGAGTTTATGGATTAAAATGATATTAATAAGCAGCAGACTTTTTAATAAACTATATTTGTTACACTTCTATTGTGAATAAAATAATCTTTTAATAAGTGGTGGTTTGGGATTTGTGTTGTGTCTTAAGTTATCATCCAGCTTCAACGTTTCACGTTGAAACACATTCATTGCAATTTATTCTGACGGCAATGCTTCAGTCAGTTAAAAACAATGTAGTGAGGTGAATGAATGATCTTAAGTTACTGATACATACGCAGTTTGTGCTGATTGACTGATTCATTCTTGAGAGCTTTAACATTTGAACATTACCTGAAGGGCCCGTTTGTCCCTTTCAGAATAAAACCCTTTGCTACACAGAAAGTTATGCATTTCGTGAACAGAAACAACAACAATGTCAGTGTGAGTCACAGTTTGCACTCTCTGCTGTGGGCCGGTCCGCTCTGTGTGAGCACCAAAGCTCTCCAACAAATGAGTCATTGGAAGCAAGAAAACAAGACGGTTTCCCTCTCGTCTGCAAAGGTTCTGTTTAGTGTTCAAATGACTTTAAAAAACACCAACCACAGATACCAGAAGTTACAAAATATAAGATTTATACATCAACATATTTCTCAGTAGGTTTTTCTTCATAAATGCGTACCTCCTCCCTGTCCAAGCGTGTGGGAGAACTACGGTGGCCCTCAGAGGACTTATTAAGGTGAAAGGCTCTCTGTAGAGCCAGTGTTTGGTTTGTCCACTCTGGGCTGCTGTAGAAACGTGGAGGTGCAACAGGGCGGACTCTCATATGGAGATAAACACGGCTCATTCCAAGCTAACGACAACAAGGATTCTTAGTTTCAGGTGGTTGTACCCTAATGCAAGTTATATTTCATTCCTCCCTATAGATCCCTCCACACTGGCCCTTTATATGTGACTTTCTTCTGGAGCGTAGAAGCTCATTCTGTACCTCAGTAAGCCCTTGAGTTGTGATTTCCTTTTGTCATGTTTGTCATGAGACCTTTGACTCAGTTTCAACACTTATGAAGAAGAAAAAAAAAAAAGAATAATTCCAAATCATATCTCTTTCTAATTTTTCACAATATTGTTCCCATTATCTTATTTTCTCACTGCACAGCTACTGTCTTCCTCAGTTGCTCTGCTTCCAGTGCAGCTTGTTTTAAGTAGAGCTTTTATCCAATCAGAGTTCACCTCTGTGTCTCTAGGTAAGAACAGAGGCAGAGGCCTACAGACTCACGTGCATCCATGTGCAGTTTAAGAGAATGAGGACAATATTGTTGATTGTCATAGTGTTCAACCAATCAGATCTTTAGTTTGACATGTTGGGCTTATTCTTTGATGTGTCAGCACCTGCTAGCTGGCCTACAAGTACGTGATTGGTCAGTGGGCTAGCCTGACATGTTGGGCGGTGACAATCCCAATATCTGCTGCCTCTGTGGAGCGGACATTTTCAGCCTCAAACGCATTAAAACCTATTCAAGAAATACAACTGGGGAGGCTCGACTGTCTTCACTGGCGTCCATGAATCCAGAAGGACTTCTTACTGGAACTAAAACACACGGATGTACTGAACAACTGTGGGATTAAACTCTTTATTAACAAAGAAAGGAGGATGGACTTTGTCTTTAAATAGTGAACAGCAGCTCTGGTAAGTTAAATGTGTTTGTTTTTACATCTGCAGTAGCTTTAACTGACATAAATATTATTATTGAGCTTTACATGAAACAAATAATAACCCGTAGCTGTGGCGTCATAATGAGGTTATTAGGAGGTGGTTCAACTGTAGTAGAACAGTACTGAAGGCCCAGGTATAAAATACATATATGTATGTAAATATATATTACATTGTATTGAAAAGCACAAAGAAGCCATCAACATGTTTGTAGTATTCAGCTTCGCTCTGACTATCTGCCTTTACCGGAAACATAATAGCGATAGGCATCACGGACACCGAGTCCACTCGGTTTCCTGACTTTATGACTTTTTATTTTTGGGCGTCTTATCTCTCCACTGAAAGATTGACAAGGTTGCTCTTATCTGGCCGGGCTGTTGCTGCGGGACACGAGCATGATAGCAGAAATAAGAAAAGATAATTTAGCACAATTGCTCATCTTTATCACCTCTGCCGCCTCCACACAAAGATAACAAACAATATGGAACCGTCTGTTCAATCCATCCTTTATTGCTTTAGGACCGAGACCAATCAAGCCAAATATATTCCCTTTGTTTGTTTCGTGAGGTATTTCATATCCAGCATCTTCCGTTTTGCAGGAGGGATGCTACAGAGAGCGAACAGAAGATTGAGACACGCCTCCACCGGCTGCATCTGGAGGAGTGATTGCACACAATGCACGAACATAAAGTACAAACATCACTGTTTCTGTAAGCAGCCTTCTTCAGGAAGAGAAGTCAGGTGTTACCAATCCAGACTGGAGGCCAACTGAAGGCCGAACACCTGTCCACATTGTCCCGAAACGTAAGTGATTTACTGCAGTTATATCTTTGTTTTAAAAGCTACCTGTACTTACAGACACACGTGTCTAAATACACTGCAGGTTAAACATGTGTACACTTTATTTTTGGTCAGAAAACAGACTTTCAAGCCACAAAGGACGAGCATTATTTAGAGGTAAGATGAACGCAGTGGATGCAAAACAGTTGTGCTTTTGCGTTGACAGCCCTGTGAGATAAATCACCCGGCATGAGTTCATCCAGCAGAAACCGGCCTGCTCTCACTCTGCTGAGGGGATTTAACTCAACTCTTGTGTTCAGTAAGAGTTCAGACATATTCGTGCTCATAAAAAAAAACACCGTCTGTGCAGGGAATTATCAGAATTCTGCCTGTGCCAAGTGCAAGCTCCTTAATATTTAGCACAAAGTTTAAGTATGGCTACATAACAGTCGTTTTATGTTTCACACTTGTTCCACTTAGCATACAAATACATATCTGTTTTTAAATCTGCAGAACGGCAAAGCATCAACCACTGAAAAACAAGAACGTTCAAGATGACGTAAGATTAAATACTGTCGGACGCCCTGGTGATCATTTATATTGATCTAAAAGACAAGTTGTCCAAATTGTCAGGTTGTAACGCACAGTTCTGTTGATTACCACCAGAGGGCAGCAGAGGACCATAAGAACAGCAGCATGGCAGTTTTTCTCCTCCCAGAAAACGAGTACAACTACTATGGCGTTTATTTCCACTTAAAATCTTAATTACCCATTCAATATTTTATATTCGTAATCTTTTATGCATTTAAGAAAAACAGATTTCCTTGCTCCATTTAAAAAAACAGCTTCCACCTTCCTCCAGCCTCTTCCACACTCTAAAAGGTTATTTTATTTTTGGACAAAGCCTCCGCTTTGAATGTTTCAGCACTGCAGAGAAACAGACTCGAGCTGTGATACAAATCTGTTGCACTACATTTGCCTTCCCTGGTTTTACTTGTCTGAATTGTGAAATGTACCACGAGATTAAAAATACATTTAAAAAATCCCCACGAAAAAAAGGTTACTGTTGTGCAACTCAACTTGTGGTGACTGATGTTGGTTTGAATGTTTCAGCACCATGGAGAGAGGCACACAGACTCGCTGTTCAATAGTATGACTACATCTACAGGCAGACGATGTAAATGTTCACCGTCAGAGATATATTGTTTATATATTTGAGATATATTTAGAGTTTCTAAATGTATGAGTTGAGATCAAGAGGAGATTCAAAGAGAGTGTTGCTCTGTTTCAGCACCATGGACAGAAACGCTGACTGAGTTTGAATGTTTCACACGCAAAGAGAAACTTTCCAAATGTATGGTGGACTGGAGCTCAGTTCTACACAGTGTGACGTGTCTGCACGCTGTATGAACCCTTTCTGCCGTACAGCGCGTGCACCGATAAACCTGTTTAAATGCAGCTAATGTCTGTTGAATGGAGCTGGATGGCGCTCTCAAACTGACACGTTGATTCATTGCCAGCGATTTGTTTAATTGACGGCATAATGTTTGAGGGAAACGTGTCATCAATCCGGACATCGGTGTGAATGGCTGTTTATATGACAAAGCTGTGAGTCAGCACAACGGTGGAGGGGCCTCGGGGGACTCGCTCGCTGTGTTTTTATTATTTCTCTAATGATCCAAAGAGATGATGAACGATCCGTCGGCTGCAGAGCTGCCAGGTGACACACAGGGGAGTGTTTAGATGTATTTATGCATAAACAAAGCAGGGAAGAGCTCAAATTGAGCATGATTCAGCACATGACTGGCTGGTAAGCAGGGAAGCACATCGCGGACACGTAACCAATCCCTCACAGAGCCAGTGGAGGAATCAGAGTACATTTTAATGTGTTTTTGCTACTCGTACTTTGCTTGACTATTTCCATTTCATGCAATGTCATACCCTCCTTTTACTGCACTGCATTTATCGGACAGCTTTATTTACTTCGCAGATTACGATTCTTCATCCATGAAGGATGAAGTTTTCCTTTATGTGTTCTCAATTCTCCTTGAGCTAAATAAACTACTTGAAAGTAAACTACTCTAAAGTAAACTTCTTTTTAAGCTAATTAAAAAAAGCCTCTTGGATCAGCTGGAAAATGCATCTTCACAAAGCTGCCAACAGGGCTGCTTCTCTGAGCTTCTGTGTCTCTTTAGAGACACGTGGTTCTCACAGGACGGCGATGTAAGCACCATTACACATGTACAGCAGTAAAATGCAACGTACACATCAACATACACATTAACCAGAAACATCGTATGTAATTGTAAACCGCTGACGGGGAACATTTCACTGCACTATGAGTACTTTCTACTTTCCATACATTTTCCTGATAATACTTTTACCTGTAGTGGAGTATTTTCAAAGTGTGATAGCAGCCTATAGTTTTACTTAAAGCCACTACCAGGAGCTTTTTTCTTGTGCTGATTCTGGGGACCCCTGTGGACAACAGCGGTAGTGTTTCTGAGCGCCAGAGTCCCGTCAGAGAACCTCTCATTTCACAGCAGTGGGGTCTGACAGGCTGCCGCGTTAAGTCCTGGTTCTGGTTCTCTCGTGCCTCCCTTCCCTCCCTCCTGAACCGGCTTGATTTTGTCTGATTTCGGCGTAATCTGAACCAGCGGCACCGATGACGAGCATTGAGAATAACGATATAGAAACAGCCAGTCATGAAGACACATCATCATTGAGATGAAAGGTCCTCACAGTAACTTTAACTAAAGCATGTGAATACTTAAACCACCACTGAGCAAAGCTAATAGAGGCGCTCGTATCGATAGCTTTATTAGATACACCTGCTGGTTAATGCAAATATCTTCCCCGAGTCTCCTTTGAACTCTTCCTTTAATATCCTCCTTCCTCTCTTACTTCCACGCTTCACTTATTTCTCATTTCTCCCCGTTCTCCTTCCACTTTTCCCATTTTTCCCTCCCCCTCTCCTCTCCCCCCGTCCTTTCGTCTACCCGCCGAACAGCAGAGGACTCCGATTATACTCTGTTTAAACAAGAAGAATAGAGCGGAGCTTTGAATAGTAAACAACTTTCATTCAGCAGCAGCCGATTACAGAACAGGAGGACACAACCTCTGCTTCTGCATTCCTGAAAGTGTGTGTGTGTGTGTGTGTGTGTGTGTGTGTGTGTGTGTGTGAGAGAGAGAGAGAGAGAGAGAGAGAGTAAATGTGCTGAGCCACAATAACCCTGAAGGAGGAACTGTTTTTCTCTCTTATGCTCATCTTTTATTGAACAACAGAGACAAGATAGACTTCAGGGTTGTTCCTCATATTTAGTCTTTTTACTTCCTCGTTTTAATAATCTCATTGAAAAAGTTCTTCGACTTTCTTGTAAACAATTTGATAGATGTTTCAGTATGCGGCGCATCACTGCGCAGTGTATATGGACAATATGCTCGCTGCATTCGAGTCTGAATTGAATCCTCTCACCCACAAAACGGATGAAGTATTGTAACATGATTTTATGCCCTGTGATATATATCATCATACAGAATGCTGTCCTCCCCTCCACAGCCTCATTACTCTGCTGGATCTATTTCCTTTTGAGCTTTTATCTGATATTTTCCCATCTATTCAGCTTTCAAAGCCTCCATCACACTTCGCCGAAAGACAAATCCAATTCCTTT